CAAAAAAAAAAAAAACGCAGCAGGACGATTTAAAAAAAAAAAATTGGGGGCTTAATTTATTTTCAAGAACCTGTCAACAACCATGTTTATCGGAGTCAAACCCGATTTGTGGCTGACTGGCCGAGCCGCACACAGGCAGAGCCGCGTGCGGCTCGCGAACCGCGATTGGCCGACCACTGACTTAGGCCGTCATAAACTAGGAAGACCGATCATGGCCTCACTGATTACGAAAGACATGGCGTGGAAGACATATTATACAAATACTCTGACACCATTACCGATATCAAAGAAATAAAACAACAATCTAATGGGGCACATTCCATCCATAAGACTGCAAACCCCATCTGTCTAAGGTCACGTCGTAAACCTTTAACATCAAAACATACCGATATAACGCGACGTCCATCAGATGGATAATGAAGGTATTATATGAACCCATAAAACTTATTAAAATGTTTAATCTGGATAAATCACACATTTGCACATATATATATATATATATATGTGGGCATGGGGTTAGGGTAATAAAAATAATTAAATTTATCAATATTTATAATGGGGCATAACCAATGAATTTTTTTTAAAAGGGAAACAGCTTTAATTATATTTGTTTAAAAAGTTTACTACAAAAAAAAAAAGTAATGGTATTTAATTTTTGAGTTATGAGGCAAGAAATCTAATAAAAAGAATTTTATTATAAATTTTATAATAATTACTTGAAATATATATGTTGTCTTATTTAAATGGGAAAACGAGTTGCTTTTTAAACTTCTTGCAGTGCACTTACGGCAATGTGCAAACAAATGGCTTGTAACTAAATTACAACACTGACCCCTAATTTGCATTAAGGATACTAATGTTATCTGCTTTAGCAATTATGGCTACTCAACATGTGGTAGGGTATTTCGAGTTACTTTGACACAGAAATATCTTACCTCCCTGGGTTCAAGTCGTCGTTGATTATTTTGAGGACACATGATCATCGACCTAATCATTATCACCGTTGACCGTCCCAGTTTTTCCTTCAAATGTGGCATTGCTTTGATGCGAGTCAGCAAGGTTCCCCCCACCCCCCCAACAAAAAAAAAAAAAAAAAAAAATAAACAATACAACACTTGAAGGTTGTTGGCAAAGGGCAAAGGTCGGGAAACTATGGCTCGCGAGCCAGATGTGGGTCTATCGATGGGTGCATCTGGCTCGCAGACAAATGTTCGATTATAAAAAAAATAATTGTTTCTTTAGACTCAATTCTTTAGATTAGCAACAGCACAAAATGTTATTAAAAAGAATTCAGAGACCTAATTATTGCATTTTAAGTGTTGAAATTACACAAAATACACACATTTACTTGAATTTTTAGTTTTAAACACAATGTATGGCTCTCATAGAATTACTTTTCAAAATATGTGGTGTCCATGGCTCTCTCAGTCAAAAATGTTCCCGACCCCTGGCATAGGGGGTTTCAGAACCAAGTTTGTGCTGACCAAGTAACAATTGGAATTTATAAACGTGAGCAAAATTTGAACGAACTTTTTATGCAATGATACATTAGTGATCAGGAGCCTCCTCCAGGAAGAAAACAATATAAAGATCCAGCAGAAAGACTTGACCACATTGTTTATGATTTTGAACCCAATATTAAGACTCAGGACCATTTACCCGGAATTGCAATTGATGTTGCATTATAATTTTTTGACACTTCTAAAAATTTAAATTTTAAAATAAAACTATAATCACCATATAACTGTTAAATGATATATTATATCTCTTATATAACTGCATGGGACTTCATTTTTAGATAAAGTCTTTTTAAAAGTTCATAACATCTTGTGACGTTTGACAAGATCCATTGGGTTACTTTGCTTTGTCAATGAGCACTGTTATTATTGCTAAGGAAAGGATGCATTTTATTCTGTAAACGAAGTGGCAATTGGTACCAGGGTACCAGAAGTGAGCGGTTGGGATTAAAAAAAACTATTTAAAATTATATTGCTAGGTTTGTAAGATGAAATGAGGTATCAAATGAAAGATATTTGGACTATTTCAGTGGTTCTCAACCTTCCTAAAGCCGCGACCCTTTAATATGTTCCTCATGCTGAGGCGACCCCCAGCCACAAAATTATGTTCGTTGCTTCTTCATAACTGTAGAGCATATGTGTTTTCAGATGGTCTTAGGCAACCCCTGGGAAGGGGTCGTGCGACCCCCCAAAGGGGTCGCGACCCACAGGTTGAGAACCGCTGGACTATATGTTTGTAGACTTAACACTTCAGTTTAACTAAAGTAAACTACCACAAATGACATCCGAATAGCACTGAGTCTAATTGGACCCAGACACGCAGCGCCGTCATTCGCACCCGGGTACCATTAGACTGTTGTACATTACAGGTACCCATGTCCTTGTCAGAGGCGTTGCTAGACTTTTGGGCACCTGGGGACAGGATTCATTTGTATGCGCCCTGCCCTCAACTCTGGAACAGATTCTTGTCAGCAAAAACGTTCGATAAAAGTCCAATTTGACGTCACGCACTAATCTGGCGACGGGGGACATCTGCAACCCCTCTGCCCCCTCCTCTAGCTTCGCCTCTGATCAATGTGGACATAGTCGAACCATCAGTACCGTAAAGCTTAATTCGTGTGTTGATGAAAATTCAGTTTTGCTGTACCAGGAACGCTGTGACCGGTTCCATGGAGTGACGCCCCCTTAATTTCCCTGTTCACCATGACACCAGCTCGCTAACCCAGTCCCGCAGTATCTAGCCGACTATCGTTGCTGTTCGCAATGGCTTGGGATATAGGGTTTCCGCTCAAACACCAACTTCAGCAGGGATCCTCACGCTGCACACGCGAACGTACAAAAGATATATTTACTTCCAACTAGTTAACTTCTGATCTGAAGCATATTCTGGGGATCGCCGCTGTTGTCTCATAATTTGCTGATACACTGTGTGCTGTTTACGCTAAATACTTCAATGCATTCTTTTCGGTGTTTTTTCCTTTTCTTATTACAAGCCTCGAGATATTCCCAACAGCTTCTTTTAGAAAATTTAATGATGTTAGTTACAAAACAAAAAATTTTTAAAAAATTATTTTCCTTTCTTGTTTTTTTTTAATTGCTTGAAATTGTATTCTTATTGTGTTTGAATAATTCATATTTAAAAAAATAATTAATCTGTAAGATGTGTATTAAAAAAAAAAAGTGAAATTTGAATAATGAAGTATGTAGTGCTATTTAAAGATTTTCATTTCGTGCTAAATGGCGTGACCCAACAATATGTACGACAACCCACTCTTGTTCCGTAGACGAAGTTTTTGGGTTAGTCCTAAGTCTTTATCGAACATGCCCTCCAAAACCCTTGTAGATGTTGCACGGCAGCCGCGAAACAAATTAATGGAAAGCAGATGCACTTCGTGGATTGTGTGTTTTGACAAAATAACGATCCTTTAGAATAAAAAAAAAATTAAATTAACTTTAAATACATCAATACCGATTTTTTTGTATTTAATCTGTATTTTGTTATCTTTTCGTTTTGGAAAAAAAGGACACTTTTTTTGATGTTGCAGTACAGCATTTTAACATAAATATTAAAATCGTTAAAATTATTGTATAAATCTATTGTTATATCCCTTGGGTGGGTAGCTCGGTTGCTGTCTAACGTTTGAAACACACGTGCATTCGTTTAAAGAAAACCTCCCGTGTTTAAAGTTGATTATTTAAGTGGTTGAATATTACTATTGGAACATTGCAACCTGAAATTGGCCTTGTGAGTAGCTGTACTTCTATGGGTTGCGAGTATTTGAGTCGCTGTACTTCTATGGGTTGTGAGTACGTAATTAGCTGTACTTCTATGGGAAGTGAGTGAGTAGATGTACTTCTATGGATCACATGATAGTGTCAAACTAAAAGGCGTTTCAGCAAAGAGTCACAGTGAGAAGGAGAAGGTGCAAAGTTTTTAACGCGGCATGGGGCAGCACAAAAAAAATTGACACGCCTCCGCGTTGCACGAACCCTATCTACGCTGGCACTGATGGCAATGAAATAATGAAATAAATTGTAACGGTTCAAAGGGAAGCTACAGCTAAACAGATGAAAGTGTTGATGATTTTTTGTTCTATCTGTGGGATTCAAATAGTGTTGTTTTTTTGTTGTTGTTTTTTTTTAGGCTTCACGCTGGTGCCATACCCGATACACTCACATACACACACACACACACAAAACACACACAAACACACATAAATGCACACACACACACAAGAACGCAGAAGAAACACAAGTCGATGGAAGAGATAGAGAGAGTTCCAACTTAAAAAGTTTGACGCCATGCCTTTTAATATAGGTCATACTTACACCACAGTGAGGCCAGACAATGGGCGGGCTCACCCCAATGATGTTCGCCCCTGCACTCTGGACACTCCGGCCAAGTAACCAAGTACGCAGAATAGTTGAACTCTTGGTGTCAACGTCTTATCATTTTTTTTTTCCTCGTGACGCGATATCGGCGCCGAGATTTTGAAGAAAAAAAAAAAAAGACCACAGTGTCGAATGGCACGTTGAAGAATGTTCTCCGACTGTCATTAGGCGTCCATACGCCCCCCTGTGCAGTTTCTTGTTTTATAGCATCGCATCTGCACGCTTGTTTTCAACTTGACTTTTCAAGAAGCCAAGCACCAAGTCATAGTTGGTAGGTTTTTTGTTCCCGGAAAATTTTGTGAATGTGAATTTGTTGAATCGGCGCAACCTCCGCTGAATTTGAAACAGTGCGGCCCTTCTTGAAACGGTCATTTTTTGGGTGATCTTATACATGAATAGAGATCGAGAGAGCGAGCCAGTTAGAAAGAAATTTGATTTTTAATTATTTTTCAACAATTGATGCTAATGTATCGTAAAGGTTTGAACCTGTACTGTTTTAGTTGAAGTTTAACGGTGCATAATATCGTGGAATGAGTCTTGTCACGTGTTTTTAGAACTACGATTAAGAGAACTGTTTCAAATGCAAAGTTCAATGATGAAAAAAAAATAAAAAAATAAAACGTAGCCTAATTCTAAGTTATTTGAACTGCTCCTAGTTGTGAGGCATTTGTTCGAACGGTATTTACTGGATTTACTGGAGAAAAAAAAAATATTATTTAACTTTGTTAATGTTGAACACTTCAGGCGAACGATATGTGCGACTACGAGAGCATCGCTTAATACGCTGCTCATGAGTCAGTTCTTATTTCATAATAATCTAATGGCCCGATTATAACAAATTGAAGCGATTCCTAGTTAAGTAATACATTTGAATATCTGGTAATTTAAAAAAAAAATGTAATTTAATAAGGAAAATTACTTTCTTTAAAAATATGGATGAAAATATGTTTAAAAAATATGTAATTAAAACAATGTGGCTATTGTCAAAATGAGTTATTTGGATCATTGAAAATCCCTACCCCGTGCTCTGACGATAAGCGTTACGTCACAATGATGTTGTTTTAACATCTATACAACTGCAGACCATACCATAACCCCCCCCCCTCCCCACGTTCTTCAACAATGCTATTTTGTGTAAGCGTAAACCAAAATATCTCTGAGTGTTACACTGTCCGCTATGGACAGACTCGCTCGTCACGCCTCTAAAGCAAATGTGTATGGAAGACACTAATTACATGCTCCATATATTTTTTTATTGTTAATAATGTGATATGGCATGAATTATAAGCACAACGGCACGTTAACATTTATAGGTCTTCATTATCTATCAGCTATCGGGCCTTTGTTTTCCATCGCTATTGTTGGAGTATACAAGACTACAGCTTGGCTAATGCATGCGACATACTGAGTAACTTGTCAAGATCATGATCACAGGAAGGCCGTATGCATTACTGGCCATCTGGTCAGTGCTCGTCCTGCCCACCTATCAAACAGCGAGACAGAAACGACAAATTCTTGCAGACCAGTGAGTTGAACATAACATTATTAATTTCTTGAAACTTGGTAACAAAATATTTTGATACATGACCTTATTTTCTACGGTACTATTATTTATATAAAAAAATATATTATAATATTATTTGTTTTTAAGTTTTATTTTTAAATTTAAAACTGTGTCTATTTACGCGTCTAACTGCGCGTCTAGCTGTGCGTCTATTTGCGCATCTATTTGCGCGTCTGTCACAATACCGCAACGATTACGCCAGTTTGCTCCGCATACGTTCGCTGATCTTATTTCGTTGGACCTATAACGTATTAAACAAACGAAATCATTAACTCAAGACAATGACAGCAATGTTTCTTTATAGAATCTCATTACAATGATTTTGCATCTTATAAAAACAGTCATATGAACAACATTGGAGCTCACCTTAACAAAATAATCATGAAAGTTTCGCTTTGTAGATGTTATAAACATTTTTGGACAATTTTCCAGAACTTCGTGGAACATAATATCAAACATGCTTTGATTCTGTCCCTTACTGCTCTAGATAAGTCTTTCATATTAACAAGTAGGCCCCTATATGGGGGACGAGTGGACATTTAGTATCCTAGAGAGAAAATGCATTGATATATATTTTACGTTTTGTAAGTTTTAGCTCGCATAGTAAAATTTCTAAGTATAAACAGTGCGCCACCTTGAAATTCTAACTTTCCTACCGTAGCTTTTCTTTAAATTTTCCTGTTTGTTTATTTTTTTTTTCTTTCTTTTTTTTTTTTTTTTTTTTTTTTTTTTTTTTTTTTTTTTTTTTTTTGGTTGCTTTAGCTCGTCTAATTACAGCATTTGGGTATTAGATAGGATGGCATTAGATCTTTTTAAATACGCAGGTAATGCAAAAAAAAAATGAAAAAATAAAAAAGGGTTTGGAAAACTGTTACAGTTGCTATTGCATCGTAACATATTTTGTATATTATGTATACACATTTAGATAGGACACCGTGTTATAAATAACAAATAATGTGTATAGTTATCTCATGTGCAATTAAACAACATGCCACCCCAACTTTAATTAAATGAAGGACTGCGTTCCAGCTGTGTGGAGAAAATAGTGCAACACGGTATGTGGAAGATGGAATGATAAAGACAGGACAATATCAAGAAACCGTTCTCTTTTTATTGTCTGGTCTTTGTAGTTCAAGCTTCCGCGTACCTTGTTCCACTATTTTGTCCCAACTTTATTTCTATAACAAGAAGTTAACTCATATTTAATTATATAACAAGAAGCACGATTCGTCTTTTCAAGGCCAAGGCTGATCACCGAGAATGGACATCTCATCTTTCAATCAGGGACCAATCACAACATCACGTTTAGAGGAGGCGAGAGTAGCGGAATCTTCATCAACACCATCGACATGAAAGTCGCCCTCAGACAGGTCGTTGGGATGCAATGAAATATGACGAAACACCCATACATCAACACAAACACCCACATACATACTCTCGCAGGCACACATACTCACACACACTCATAAAACAAAGAACTTACGCAAAAACTGAAACTCTTTTTTTGAAACGAAAAACAAGCATATTTTAGAGGTCAAAATGAAATTTGCCATTGGTGATCCTGAATACCAATATATTTCTCTCTTGATGTAGCGAAAGAAAGTTCTGAATAATTCTAAAACTAAGACAAATAACAAGAGTACAAGAGATAATGTGAAAATTGTAGAAATACATTGGGAGTGGGGGGGGGGGGGGAGGGGGGAAAAGGTAATGTTGAAGGACATTGTTTCATTTTATAAAAAGACCATAACCTACAAACTAAATCTCCATTTATATCTTTAGTATAAGAAACATACATTGACAGATATTTCCTTTCCTACGAACTAAATAAGTGTTTATATCTCCACACATAAAGCCTTAACGTTACTTTAAACTTACAGGTTGACTTTAACAAGGCCAACATTGGTACTCTACAAACCAATGTTTCTTATGTAAGTAGATTTTTAAAACCATATTTCTTGGATGTTTGCAATCCTTTCATATGATTATTTCATGAAGTATTTTTTTTTTTAAAATCGAGTTGATAAAATTAAGTAACACTACATTGATTCAATATTTTCCCTCTGAGTCTTTCTTGAATGTTATTTTATTTAATGGACAATTTCTTTCTAATCAATACAATAACATGATAACTATGTTTGAGTATTTGAACTAAGAAGTATATCTCTTGCAGATGTCCAGTAATTTGACTGCCCGACTGACCTCTCTGGAGACAGTGATAAATGGTCCTTTCAGTTACGTCCGTGACCGTATACAAGTGTTGGATAACAACATAACTCAGGTGAGTACAGAGTTGGATGATATCGACTAGATTAACGCTTTTGTAGCTAATGTCGTGAAAAAAAAACAACAAATGGTTGATAATATTTCTTGACTGACCGAGTCACGCGGATAAAGTTTAAATGCAGGGTTAAAAAATAAAACCAACTTGTGAATAGTGAGACAAGTTATTGAGGTTAAACAGGTCATTTACGACACTATCACTGAAGGCAACCTTTTAAAAAAAAAAAGGAATAAATAGATAATATATACGTGTCTGCTTTTCAAGACCTGTAAAGGTAACGGTAGAGCGAGATCTGTGGACGTTTGAAATGAGGAAAACATGATGGTTAAAAGAACGTTGTCAGCTGGATGACTTCACGAAAAGACAGAACAAGCAACAACATGGAATGAAATATTCAAAGACTTGTCGTGTCGGCTGCGCTCAGATTATGTTCGAAACGGAAGTGAAGTTGTGCACATCCAAAACGGACGTGGTGCCAACGAGACTATACACAAAATAATTTAGATGTTGTTGATTTGAAATTCTAGATTTTCAAAAATTAACAAACCAAGAACAATAAAAAAGAAATATTTTAAAAGAGTAAAGATTGTTTAACACCCACCCCCAACCACCCACCTCGCCAAAAAAAAAAAAAAAAAAACGAAAAAAAAAAACAAAAATAAAAATTAACAAACCAAGAACAAAAAAAAAGAAATATTTTAAAAGAGTAAAGATTGTTTAACACCCACCCCCAACCACCCACCCCCCCAAAAAAAAAAAAAAACAAACGAAAAAAACAAACAAAAAACACAAATTGAACACATTCCCAACGTGATACAAGTTTCAGGGCTTGATTTTGAGAGTGTCAAGAAATATGTAAAGGTTTCTAAACAGATGTTAATATTGCAATCTTTACCGAAAGACCCAAGTTTAAATATCCCTAATTTTTCATCAGGCTCCTCTACAGCCCCCCCCCCCACCCCCAAAGAAGATTGTCATATTTCGCTTGAGAAACTACCGTATCCGGAAATTTGATCGAAAGAAATTTCGTCGCCGGAAAAAAATTGATCGACGGAAATTTGATCGAACGGAAATTTGGTCGAATCTTTTTTTCAGTTCGTTAAAATTTTGCTTCAATTTCTTTTTTAACGCATTATTTTGTTTGACTATATAGTATAGTGCGCCCAAAAAGAAATTTGACGACAATTTCGATCAAATTTCCGGTAACCATTTCGCTTGAAAAAATAGGATAGGTGACGTTGTATTTGTGTGAGTGTATGTGTCAGTAATATTGAATCATCTGTATCCAATTGGAAGTCCCCCCCCCCCACCAAACCCAGAGTGCATGTGTTTACCCAGAAAAATGTGGAGACTTTGTACCGCGCTTCGAGCCAGGGGGATGAAGCGTGATTTTTTAAAAAAAAAAAAACTTGATTATTATTATTATTAGCCTTGCTTCAGAGGCGTCGCGGGATATGGCTGGATTTTCATTTAGTGCATAGTCATACCCCCCTACCAGAGTCTCCCAGTGTCTTATGTCAGGAAAAATATTATTCAGCTACATGTATTTGAATATCAAAATATGGTTCTGATCATCAGCATGCAGGACCGTGAAAAAGGGGCGCCAGCATCAGAGGGGCGTCAAACAAATTAACTTTTATTAAGACCATAATAGTCGATAAAATGATAAAATTCAATGTACTTTACAAAGACAAGGGGAGACAACATCGTGTTTTTTTTTTTGGTGGTCCGCAGAGGGAAATTCTTTTTCTATAATATCTGGAGGGCCTCCATTTTCACACTTCGCACCTGGCGCCACTTTTTCTCGACACGGTCCTGTCAACACGCATCTTTGATTATCACAATGATTCTCTGATCACCAAAAATGTATCTCCGATTATCAACAATGTATCTCTGATGATCAACAATGTATCTCTGATTATCAACAATGTATCTCTGATTATCACAGTGTATCTCTGATATCACCATGTATCTATGATTATCACAGCGTATCTCCGGTTATCACAATGTATCTCTGATTATCACAATGTATCCCCGATTATCACAATGTATCTCCGATTATCATAATGTATCTCTGATTATCAACAATGTATCTCTGATTATCACAGCGTATCTAAGGTTATCACAATGAATCGCTGATTATCACAATGTATCTCCGATTATCACAATGTATCTCTGATTATCACGATGTATCTCTGATTATCACAATGTATCGCTGATTATCAGCATGTATCTCCGATTATCAACGTATATATTTTTTTACTTCCACTCTCCAGCAAGTGAACGCGCACAATGGTCTTGACCGACGAGTCGCCGATGTTGAGAGAAACATCGGCACGCACATCAGGACGTCCATTGAAGGCATCAGTGGCAGGCTACGGACCCTTGAAAGACGTGTAAGTTTGGTGGAAATACATTCACATAGGAACGTGTGTGTTTTGTTTTATCTTGTTGTTGGTGGGGCGTCTCAAGAGTAAATTAGGATGGTATATGGACGGTAAGATAAACGTTGGGGCGTCTCAAGAGTAAATTAGGATGGTATATGGACGGTAAGATAAACGTCGGGGCGTCTCAAGAGTAAATTAGGATGGTATATGGACGGTAAGATAAGCGTTTTGGCGTCTCAAGAGTAAATTAGGATGGTATATGGACGGTAAGATAAACGTCGGGGCGTCTCAAGAGTAAATTAGGATGGTATATGGACGGTAAGATAAACGTCGGGGCGTCTCAAGAGTAAATTAGGATGGTATATGGACGGTAAGATAAACGTCGGGGCGTCTCAAGAGTAAATTAGGATGGTATATGGACGGTAAGATAAACGTCGGGGCGTCTCAAGAGTAAATTAGGATGGTATATGGACGGTAAGATAAACGTCGGGGCGTCTCAAGAGTAAATTAGGATGGTATATGGACGGTAAGATAAACGTCGGGGCGTCTCAAGAGTAAATTAGGATGGTATATGGACGGTAAGATAAGCGTTTTGGCGTCTCAAGAGTAAATTAGGATGGTATATGGACGGTAAGGTAAACGTTGGGGAGTCTCAAGAGTAAATTAGGATGGTATATGGACGGTAAGGTAAACGTCGGGGCGTCTCAAGAGTAAATTAGGATGGTATATGGACGGTAAGGTAAACGTCGGGGCGTCTCAAGAGTAAATTAGGATGGTATATGGACGGTAAGATAAACGTAATTTGTTCAGCACTGGTTAAATGCTCTTTATAAACACACACACACACACAATTGTGTACATACTGATAGTTATAAGACAACATTTTTACACACACACACAATTGTGTACATATTGATAGTTATAAGACAACATTTTTACACACACAATTGTGTACATATTGATAGTTATAAGACAACATTTTTACACACACACACACAATTGTGTACATATTGATAGTTATAAGACAACATTTTTACACACACACACAATTGTGTACATATTGATAGTTATAAGACAACATTTTTACACACACACACAATTGTGTACATATTGATAGTTATAAGACAACATTTTTACACACACACACAATTGTGTACATATTGATAGTTATAAGACAACATTTTTACACACACACACAATTGTGTACATATTGATAGTTATAAGACAACATTTTTACACACACACACAATTGTGTACATATTGATAGTTATAAGACAACATTTTTACACACACACACAATTGTGTACATATTGATAGTTATAAGACAACATTTTTACACACACACACAATTGTGTACATATTGATAGTTATAAGACAACATTTTTACACACACACACAATTGTGTACATATTGATAGTTATAAGACAACATTTTTACACACACACACAATTGTGTACATATTGATAGTTATAAGACAACATTTTTACACACACACACAATTGTGTACATATTGATAGTTATAAGACAACATTTTTACACACACACACAATTGTGTACATATTGATAGTTATAAGACAACATTTTTACACACACACACAATTGTGTACATATTGATAGTTATAAGACAACATTTTTACACACACACACAATTGTGTACATATTGATAGTTATAAGACAACATTTTTACACACACACACAATTGTGTACATATTGATAGTTATAAGACAACATTTTTACACACACACACAATTGTGTACATATTGATAGTTATAAGACAACATTTTTACACACACACACAATTGTGTACATATTGATAGTTATAAGACAACATTTTTACACACACACACAATTGTGTACATATTGATAGTTATAAGACAACATTTTTACACACACACACAATTGTGTACATATTGATAGTTATAAGACAACATTTTTACACACACACACAATTGTGTACATATTGATAGTTATAAGACAACATTTTTACACACACACACAATTGTGTACATATTGATAGTTATAAGACAACATTTTTACACACACACACAATTGTGTACATATTGATAGTTANAGTAACAATCACTTACAAAAAAAAAAAAAATGACCGTCAGTTTCGAGTCTGTATACATTTATTTTTGTTTAAACGTGAAACCAAATTAGTCCGATATTTCATTTGAGCAATCTGTTACTAATCTATCGTAAAATCAGCCCAATATTAACGCTAAGATAGTTGTCCGCTGCCACCAGTAAATTATTTAGCTTGAAAATGTGTTGAAGCCAAGGGAAAAGAACTTTGGCTTCAGATCAACTGAAGCCCATCGCGTCCAGCGTACTTTCAGGCCCAAACACGCAGACAGTGAACAAACATACTGTTATTGAATCCACAGGCCAACAGTACACGTGGAGGTGGTGGTGGTGGAGGAGGGATCGTAGGCGCCGCTGGAAGAAACCAAATGCGAAACATTCAAAGAAGGGTAAGTGTAAATTATAAATAAAAGTATAACAAGCCTTGAAGTCAAAGACAAATAAGACACATTCCAGTTTAAGACAGATTCACATATTATAAGACACATCCCCGTATGAGACATATTCTTGTATAAGAAACATTCCCGTTTTATGAAACAATATAAATTGTACATAATAGTTAAATAAAACAATTCCTTATAACAGCTGATTCACACCCGGTCGGTGAAAAAAAAAAAAAATTCTGTAAAATTGTGTTTTCGGTGAGTTTGGTTGTTTCACCAAATAATCTAATATTTTGCATAACTCGTTGCAACCTTTTGTGGGACTCACCAACTCTCCTAATTTCACTTTTCCGGTTAATAGACTTTTAATGTTCTTAACTGGTCAACATTTCTCCCCCCCCCCCTCCAATTTACAGTTGGTTTTAGAATAGTCAAAGATGATTTAATAATTTTGTACTAGAAAGTGTTAGTGTGTGTGGGGAGAAAAGGGTTAATGTCACGGAAGCCAAAGAGTTAACTGGTTGATAATACTTTGGTATAACGCCGTTTCGTGGAAGGCACCAGACTAGTCTTGACTTGGCATTTTACCGCCCTTGCCGGTGCATCCTGTACTTTCGAAATTAAAATATCGAAGGCCCGACAACTACTCATTTATAATGTATACCCTTGGGCACAAAAATATATAAAAACATTTGTATGCCTATTCACCGAATGAAGTGGCTAGAGAAACAACTTTACATACACACACACAAATCTTTAGTCTATTCTTGTTTAAAAAAATGTTAACAGTCAATTTGTATAATTTAAAATCCATTTTTTCTTTCCAGCTTGGAACTCTTGAGACTTCAATGGCGCAGTTACAGTTGGTAAGTTGAAGAATAGGGGGGAGGGGGGGAGGGAGGGCCTATTAGACTCTTTCGCTTCAAACTAACACTACTCTTAAGATGATTAACAGCACCAGGACCCAGGCCCGGAGGTAACCTGTAAGAAAAATAAGCACATGTGCTAGGGCACCAAAAGGAAGGAGGAGGCAGCACAAAAACACAAATAGAAAAATATAGATTTCTTTTTAACAAACAAAAAATGTCCCTAAATATCTAAAAAATTTAGTACCCAGAGATTTTTTCGATTATAAATGGTGTGCCGAATGATGCCCCCTTAACATCTCCTGAACGTGAAATGTATTTGCAGGGTATAAGGGGAAAGCTGATGGTTTACCTAGACGCTATACATTTCCACAAATATCTCTTCTGTTACTCTCAGATTAAGTGTAGTATAGGGGTCAAGTATTCTTAAAATTAATACATTTCGGCTAGTGTGGGTTCAATGGACATAAATAAAGTGATATTAAAGGTGTTTTATTTTTTTTTACGAAACTGGCAAAACCGCGTTCGGCAAGTGTGATAAAAACAACAACAACAACAACAACAACAACAACAACAAGAACAACAACAAACGAAGCGAACATGTTGTGGTTAGATCTACCTTTCGTTCGGCAGCTGGCCAGTGTAATTAACAAGTGCAGCCAATGTGTCGTGTTTATGATTAGCTTTAATTAGTGTAAGCCATTGTAATTAACAAGTGCAGCCAATGTGTCGTGTTTATGATTAGCTTTAATTAGTGTAAGCCATGGTGCTCTCCCCCCCCCCCCTGCATCTCCTTCGAGTCTGCCTATTCTGGTGGCACATTACCATCGGGGTTCCCTGTGCCGTGGCGTTACTTTCTTATGGCACCCTGTTCTGGTGGCACCCTATTCTGGTGGCACCCTATCATAGGGGCTCACTCTATTGTGGCATTATATTATTATGGCACCCTTATCTAATGGCACCCTACCATGGGGGCTCCCTGTGCTGTGGCATTATTTTCTATGGCACCCTACTCTTGTCGCAACCTACTCTTGTGGCACCCTACCATGGGGGCTGAGTGTCCTGTGGTTTTATTTTCATATGGCACCCTACGCTTATGGCAACCAATTCTTATGGCACCTTACCATGGGGGCTTCCTGTGCTGTGGCATTATTTTCCATGGCATCCTACTCTTGTCGCAACCTACTCTTGTGGCACCCTACCGTGGGGGCTCAGTGCCCTGTGGTTTTATTTTCATATAGCACCCTACGCTTGTGTCAACCAATTCTTATAGCACCCTACCATGGGGGCTCCCTGTGCTGTGGCATTATTTTCTTATGGCACCCTACTCTTGTGGCATCCTACTCTGGTGGTACCGTACTCTTGTGGCATCCTACTCTGGTGGTACCCTACTCTTGTGGCATCCTACTCTGGTGGCACCCTACTCTTGTGGCATCCTACTCTGGTGGCACCCTACTCTTGTGGCATCCTACTCTGGTGGCACCCTACTCTTGTGGCATCCTACTCTGGTGGCACCCTACTCTTGTGGCATCCTACTCTGGTGGCACCCTACTCTTGTGGCATCCTACTCTGGTGGCACCCTACTCTTGTGGCATCCTACTCTGGTGGCACCCTACTCTTGTGGCATCCTACTCTGGTGGCACCCTACTCTTGTGGCATCCTACTCTGGTGGCACC